TAGAATGATTAATTTTAGCACTATATGTGTATATGTCTGCAAAGGGCATTATACATATATTCCATCATCACTGGAATCTCACTGCCCTTTCAGGAAATCTTACTGGCTATTTGCCTTTCATAGGTCAGTGGGAGTAGGTAGTTCATTCAAGATCACAGAGCTTGGAACAGAGCCAAGATTCACGTACCTTCAAATCCCTTTCTATCATACAATCCACTGAATGCTGAATTCACAAGCTTTTTGTGCAAGCAACTACATTTTAATTACCGTTGGTCTCATCAAAGGAAATCTCTATACAGACATTTTCATACTCTACTTGGAAGTTGGTTTTTTCCCTTAAAGTTCTTCATATTATTTGGTAATTACTCTAATTACCCTTTAATGTCTTATGTGTTGGATTAGCTGGAAGTGCTGAGTTAAAAACTCTTCATGATGAATATAAGGAGTTAAGGTAAATTACCCTTCAAAAATAAATATTGAAGTTCATTTCCAGAATTCATTGAATGTAACAGTGCAGACTCTCAGTTTCTATTTTCAAGGCTTTGTTCTTGTTTTTTGAAATGGTTATTAGAAGATGACAATCCTGAGAGAGTTTAGAGTTAGGTTCGCTGCCTTAGATTTTTCTTTTTCTGCCCGTCACTTCACTGTGCTCCAAAATTTGTATTCACACTGTTTTAACCTGTAAAGAAGGGAAGCAAAATAAATGAAAGTGGCTGAAATTTTCTTTAACCCCCTAACCTCTTTCCTATTGTGTATTAATTTGATGCATTAGTTTATGGGATAATTAAAATAAGGAAAAACTACCAGTTGAATTGTATTGTAACTGTGCACCTTCTATCTTGGGAAGATAAGCCTTTAATTGAATAGATTAATGGATCAGCTGTCACATCTGCTTTGCTGCTGGAGATCCTGTTTAATCACGGAAGTGATTGAAAGCTCAGTTGCCTTTATCTCTCTGCCAGGCAATTGCTGGCGCTGCTGCTTCACCAACCAAAACAAAACAAGTTTTTTCCTTGAGTGTCATCCATGCAGGTACACAGCTGAGTTTATTATCCTCTGTGATATTTTTCCCCACCAAAAGCTGTTCAGAATATTATTTTCTTAAATACTAGGGGGAAAAAAGTCTTGATTTTATTTTATGAAAGCACAAAAATAGTCGGTTTCTATGACAGCTGGATTGTCAACGTCTATTCAGCTTACGTGGAGGAGGATGTCCTACTTAAATAGTATCGGAAGAAATAGCTGTCAGAAATCACTGCCTTTTAAAGCAATTTGAAATTACGTAAAAGGAAGTCATGAGAAAATAAAGCAATTCATGTTTAATCTGGAAAAGATGGAGAAATGATTTTGTAAGGAGATCTTACATGATCATTTTTATATTTTGACGTAGATCTTGTTTATTCTTGTAATCCACTAAGAAACTTACGCTGTTATTCTTTATGGGATACATATACAGTTCTCACCTTGTCATTCAACTCTTGGCAACATTCAAGTCCACTTTCGCATCTAGTCTTGTCCCAAAATAGCCTCCACCCCTGTAGCAGTATCCTTACCAGATAGCATCCTACTTTCCTCTCTGCCCTTCAGTTTTGGAGAGCTCTTTTGACATCTGCCTCTTCCATATAAAATCTTCCTCTGAGTAATTCCAGCTCACAGTGAGTCTTACTTTGGGATCTCTATTATTTTGGTATTTATCCCACTTCATACCTACTTTCCATTACTCTTTAGATGCTACGTCCACGGTATATGGATTTTCTATTTTTTCTTCCTGACCGTATCAAGTGTAGTTCTATAGTGTAACAGAAAGAATTGAAGGTCTTTTACATTTAGGCAGGAATATATAGTAGGAAGAATGGGTTAAATTTAATCTCTAGTTTGAAATCAGGACCTCAAATTTCTTTCAGAGTAAAAAAACCGAGTTGGCATTATGTGTAAACAGATGGAGTGAAGATATTTTGAAAATGCATAATAAGTCCATATTTCATTTGGAAAAGTGAAAGAATTAGGGACATCTAGGATCTCTAGACCTCATCAGTTCACACCGAGACATTCTCGAGACCTCTAGAGGGACCATGGAGCAGCTCTCCCTCATCTCCATATAATGGCGACCTTTCCTTTGTTCTTGTAATAGAGGTAGATTCAATCACTAGACAATACCATTTCTCCTGCTGCTATTTTAACTCTACTTCCTGGGAAGTAGTCATTCCAGATAAGTTATGTTTTGGCCGCTAAAGCTTTCCTTCAATCCCCCATTCCGAGATGCTTCATTATTTCTTATGATCAAACCCCTAAATACTTGGAAGAAATTCTGTCAGGTAGACACAATGAAAAAAGTCCTCAGATCTGAGCATAGCCATCCTTGAAGCGTGTCTGCGTCTTCCATCATTCAGAAGTGTTATCATAGTTTTCAGATGCCCTTCTAGTCGGATTTTTGGAAAAAGATGTATTCTATGCATATGGCTTGTTTTTGTTGCTCAGCATTTTAGGGTGTCATTTTGTTTTAAAATAATTGTTAAAAAATGATACAGTCAGGGTGGGTGCCTGTGGCTCAAAGGAGTAGTGTGCCAGCCCCATATGCCAGAGGTGGTGGGTTCAAATCCAGCCCCGGTCAAAAACGGCAAAAAAAAAAAAAAAAAAAAAAAAAGATACAGTCAGCGATTCTACTAAGAGTGAAGAGATTCATGTTTGACTGAACATGTTCCATTAGCATTCTTTAAAACATTGTGACTATTTTCCTTTCTTATTTTCAGGCGGGTTGGTCACTTCTATGCAAATTGATAGAAATCTGTCCTGGTACCATGCAAAGCTTAATGGGACCTCAGGATATTGGAAATGATTGGGAAATTCTCGGTGTTCACCAGTAAGTATCACATGCGTGGAATAGTCATCTATACACATAACAGCCTTTTCCTTGTGATGTTATGTTCCCAAGCCAAGGTCACTCTGGTCAAATTCTTTAAAATACAGGTGAGCCACAGAGGTTCCCATCTGTATTCCCAACACTTTAGGAAGATAAGATAGGAGGATTAGTTGAGGCCAGGTGTTTGAAACCCACCAAGGCAGCATCTCAAGGTTTCATCTCTACAGAAAAGTTAAAAATTAGCTGGGTGTGGTAGCATGCTTTTGTAGTCCCAGCTACTTGGGAGGCTGAGGCAGAAGGATCGCTTGAGCCCAGGAGTTCAAGGTTATAGTGAGTTATGATGATGCAACGCCATTGCACGCCAGCCTGGGTGACAGAGTGAGACTCGGTCTCAAATTTAAAAACAAAAGCACCCAAAATGAAGTGAAAACAAAACAAGCGATGATTTTCCTGAATTGATGATTTACGTTTAAAAAAAGCTTTAAAAACAGAAGGTTGAAATAGAAAACTAACCTTTGAGGTAAAATGTCATGACTTACTATTTTAATAATATAATTATATAATTAGACAACAGGTTCAGGTGTAGATTTCTGATGACTGAATTCAAACCAAGAAGAGTTTTTACTGTCTAATAGTAGAACCGATACAAACCACTAGTTCTTAAAAAATAGGAGAACTGAAAAAGTACGTTGTTTAAGTGGTAATTTAAAAGTTTATGCTGTACTGTCTTTAAATAGTACACTTATATATATTCATACCTACATGTTTAGTGAGTTTCAACTATGGCTTTCCAACAGAAGAAAAGAGAGGAAATTACCTTTCAGGACATCTGCAGCCAAATCTTGACAGCTATTTTCCAGCTATGTGTTTGCAATTTGCAGCATAATGACTTCTTAGATGAGACGACTTCCTTAGCCATAATTAATTAAGAAAACATTTTCTAGGCCAGGAGCAGTTGGCTCTGGCCTGTAATCCTGGCATTCTGAGAGGCTGAGGTGGATGGATCGCCTGAACTCAGGAGTTCAGGATCAGCCTGAGCCAGAGCAAGACCTGTCTCTACTAAAAATAAAGAAACTATCTGGGCCTTATGGTGGACACCTGTAGTCCTAGTTATGACAGAGGCTGAGGCAAGAGGATCTCTTGAGCCCAAGAGAGTTTGAGGTTGCTGTGAGTGAAGACACTCTGGCACTTTACCCAGGGAGACAGAGTGAGACTTGTCTCCAAAAAAGAAAGAAAAAAAAAATTACTTCCAGGAAACTTTCTTTGGATAACATTGTTTCTTAACATTTAAAAAATATCTTCTGTCATTAAGTCTTTCTTTTATTCCTAATGTGACTTTTTTCTACCAGAGAGAAGAAAATCATGAATTATTTTTGCTTCCAATGGCGTACTGCTTGTAAGAAACATAGTTTATGCAAGGCTAAATTTTACATCTTTGTATTATTTATCAGTATCAATGATGGCTATAATTTAGACAAATTGGAGCTAAGTATTTGTCCCCAAGTGGGCATGTCTGTGCCTATACGTTTTTCCATCCTTGATGAATGTGTTGCTCTTCTTCAGTTTTCAGCATGTAAAGGGTGTGTTGTGAACAGAGCATATTTGTAACTATCTTTTTTTTTGGTTGCAGTTTTTTTTACTGGGGCTGGGTTTGAACCTGCCACCTCCAGTATATGGGGCCAGCGCCCTACTCCTTTGAGCCACAGGCACCGCCCATATTTATAATTAGTCTGTATTCTCATCTCCAAACTCATCTTTGTAATTCTATGAGTCAGTTCCAAAGTATATATTGTTTAATGAGGAACTGCCTGAAATATACCTGTTATTAAGATCTGTAACTTTAAATGTCCCTTGGTTTGCCTGAAAATTTCCAAGATCTCCACAGATTAGCTAACGTGTAACCTCAGGGAGTGCTGGAAAACTCATCTAGTCATATGCTGGTGTGAACCAAGAGTTCAAATTAAATAACGTGGGAAATTCCCTTCATTTATTGTTTCATTCACTTATTTGTCGATTCATTCATCCATCTTCTGTTCACCATATGTTTATTGTGCCCCTAGTCTGGGCCAGAAGCAATGTGATAGTGAACCAGATGGACACACTGCTCTCTACAGTGGAGCGTCTAACATCATTCCCAGCAAAAATTTATTATAAAACATATTTTCCCATATCTAACATCTTCCCTCCTGCCCCCAAGACTTACCATACCGAAGAAGAAATTCCTTTTCTTGTGATGAGCTTAAGAATAGTGGGAAAGGTTTAAGTGACGAGTTTCTCAACTCTAGATGAAGCTCCGGATATCCCTGGCTCTGTCTTCTCCAATGGAGTGAAGCCGGACATCACTGGGCAGAAGTAGATTAAAGGATGTAGTTTGGAGTTGGTAACACAGGGATTAAAATCTCATCACTTTGAACCATATTAAGTTCATTTTCTAATGTACAATTTCATTAATTTCTTTTTCAAAAATAGTAGTGATCAGTAATTTAAATATTTAAATGAATTCTTAATTTGTATACACAAAATAATATCCTTGTTACAGCTTCCTATATTTTATCAACATGTGTAAATTCATAAGTTTATATTACATACAAAAAATGGGCTTGCTTTCTTGACGTATATAACTCCATGGTATTTTGGATATGAGTTGAGTGAAAATAGCTAATAACTGAATCTGAGTATTTAGTGGAAAATATGAACCACTTTTTTCTAATTAGATTCAATATAGGTCCCTGTTAAATTTCACTGTTGTTCTCTTCCAACTTTACTGAACTATGGTTGACAATTAAAAAATGTTTATATATAAGGTGTACAACTGATGATCTGATATATGTATACATTGTGGATTATTCATCACAATAAAGCTAATTCAAATTCCTTACTAATTTTTATAAGCCTGGCTCAAGTTTGTAGAAAGAACAAAGCACGTGAATTTCACTATATGGTATTAAATATTATGGGGCAAATAAAAATGTAGATGAGTAAAAAATAATATATAAGTAAAATTCTTGGTATCATATTACAAACTTATCTTGATTTCTGTTATTAATTCCAGACTGATTCTTAAAATGCTAACAGTTCATAATGCCAGCATAAACCTGTCAACAGTGGGACTGCAGGCCTTAGATCTCCTCCTAACTTCAGGTAATACACATATATATTTTTCATCTTGAGTGACATTTAAAAAATTTTTTTGACATATATTAAATGTATTTTAATTTTTTTTGTAGGATCATAACATAATGTAACCTAAATACACTTGTCAGAGATTTCCAAAATTCTTTCTGTTTCCATCTCCTTTCTTTATCTCTTTTCACTACGCTTTGTCTCTGAAAAATCTTATTTAATACCTTGGTTTTAAATGTTACTTTATATGCCCCTCCCACATCTCTCTAACCCTTGGCGTCTCTCCCCAGTCTGATCTCAAATCTCCCTTTCCCATTAGCTGGGTGGCCCATCTTGCCCTTGCCATTATTTTATCTTTTTCTGTATATATTTTTAATGTGCTCTGTGTACTATACACCTGTGTTCTAAGGTATGCTATGGTAGTAATATTTTTATTAAAAAAATTTTTTTTTCTTTTTTTTTTTTGCAGTTTTCGGCTGGGGCTGGGTTTGAACCCATCATGTCTGGTATATGGGGCCGGCACCCTACTCCTTGAGCCACAGGCGCCATCCTATTTTTGAAATTTTTTCAGTAATATTTTTAAAGTGTATAGCTTTACCTTGAGTGCTTGCTAGATGCCAAGTTTCACACGTAAAATGCTTCATATGCCCTTTAACACAGAAATCTCAGAACATGCCCTGAGCTAGGGACGTCACCTCGGTTTTCTAGGGGAGAGGCACTGAAGCACAGAGAGATTAGTCGCCTTGGCTGCTAAGTGGTAGAACCAGAGTCTGACTCCTCACGTCAGCTTCTTTGCCCAAAAAACTTTTCCCTGGAGCACAGTGGACCCGAGAACAAAAAAATCTGGATGTGTGTAATAGTTGTGGTCATTGCTGTGAGGGATGCCCGCTGTTACATAAGGGTTTGAGACCAAGGGCTCATCACAGAGGGGCTAAGTCTGAAGACCTAGAAGGCGTTTCCTTCTTCAGAAGGGAGGGCATTTTGGATAAAAGACGTGTGGGTGCAGAGGATAATGTGAGAGAGCCTGGCCGTGTGGGTAGGAAGATTTAAATGATCTCATCAACCCTCCTTAGCCCTGCTATGTGACAAAAACCCTGAACAAGAAAAAGGAAGAGAGTGAAGACCAGGATGAAGGAGGAGAGACAGGGAAGTCCTGAGGGTAGAGGGCATTTCACCTCCGCCTTTTGTTCCTGTATTCAGTGTACCAACTGATCTCAACCATGACTTATTTACTCTCATCCTGGGAGGCACTTTTCTGCGTGTTTCATTCTCCATTTGGCAATAGACAGGAAGTTGAGGGTTTATAAATCTGAAAAAATCCCCCAACAGTGAAATCTATGAATGCTGGTAGTTAGGGAGCTTGATATGTGTTTTGAAATGACGAGTTAATGTAATTTCTCCCATGTGACATTCAGAATATTGAGCTATTTGGGAAGTTTTATATGTGTTTAAAGTTCAGAGACTTAGAGATTAATTGGTGAATCATTTTTCTAGTCTGGCTATTAATTGGTTGATTTAATAGTTTATTGGGCACTTACTGTTGTGTTGGGTGCTGGAGAATTCTTAAGATAACTGGCTAGGAAGTGCAACTCACACCTTGAATCTCAGGAATTTGGGATGCTGAAGCAGGAGAATTGCTTGAGGCCAGGAGTTTGAGACCAGCTTGGGCAATATAACAAGACTCTACCAAAAAAAAAAATATCTATATATCTATATATCTATATATATATGTATATATAAATTAGCCAGGTGTGGCGAGTGCCTATAGTTTCAGCTACTGAGGGGCGCTGGGGCAGGAGAATTGCTTGGACCCAGGAATTTGAGGTCCCTGTGAGGTTTGATTGTGCCACTGCACTCTAGTCTGGGTGACAGAATGAGACCTTGTCTCTGAAAAAAGAAAAATAGAAAAGAAAAAGAAAAAGAGAATTCTAAAACGGATGAGGCAACCCTCCTATAGTATAGATGTCCACTTCCCAGCACTGCTGTCTCATAACTTTCTGCAGTGATGGAAATGTTCTCTGTGTTGTCCAATACAAACAGCTTAGAGTTGTATGTGACTACTGAACATTTGAAGTGTGAGAAAATGAATTTTAATTTTATTTACTTTTTAATTAACCGGATTTTGAGTTTAAATATTCACATGTGATTAGCGAGAACTGAATTGGAACAGTGTAGGCAGAAAGATACAAACATTAGAAATAATTGCAATTTAACCAAAAATGCATCATCACAGATACCAAGAAAACTACCATAGGAAGGGAGCGTCGCTAAACTCAGCTGTAGGAGTTCAAAGCATCACCATGAACCGCCTATGTTGATGTCCAGCTCTGCCTCTTACGAGCTGCTGGACCTTAGGCAAAGTCACTGGAGTCGCTCAACCTTTTCGGCCTCAGTTTTCGGATCTCTCAGATGAGATCTGATCTTCCCTCATGGGGTTATGGTGGGGACCAAATGTGCGATGGTGACGTGCCAAATTGGGGTCGGACATCTCATTGTGCTATCGAGGGGCTCACTGCTACAGTACTACTCCTATTCCAGGACTATTATATTTATTGACAAAAATAGGTATTATTTGTGTTATTTCTTGAATTATGTTTTGTGTAGGAAAAGCCAGGAGTATTCCACGCTGGGAGTGCCCGTGCAAAGGGCTGTCAAAGAAAATGTTCAGTGATGAGCAAAGAGTTTAGCATGTTTGCAGTGCAAAAAATTTGTGGAAGAACACGGGACTGATGAGATGCCTGGACTGCAGTTTGTTTTGTGAGGGGCCTTGTCTGTCATGCTTAGGCATGTGAGAAGGCCCTAGACAAGCAATACCCAATCTTTGTGGCACCCCAAGCCAGTTTCATGGAAGATAATTTTTCCCTGGACCAGGATGAGGGTTGGGTGCTTTGTGCATGATTCAAATGCTTTACATCTCCATCTCAGATCATCAGGCAATGGGTTCTCATAACGAGTGTGCACCCTAAATGCCTTGTGTGTACAGTTGACAGTAGGGTTCATGCTCCTATGAGAATCTAATGCCGCCAGTTATCTGATGGGAGGTGGAGCTTAGGTGGTGATGCCAGCAGTGGGGAGCAGCTGCAAATGCAGATGAACTTCCCCCTCACCTGCTGCTCACCTCCTGCTGGGTGGTCAGGTTCCCAACAGGCCATGGGCAGGATTGGGGATGGAGGCTGGGGACTGCAGCCTTAGTTGATTTCAGCAAGAGATTGGCAAGACCCCATTTATGTTTTTGAAATATAATATCAGGACTAAATGAGCAGGGTAGAGATTTTGAGTAATTAAGCAATTGTTTTCGCATTCTATTAATAGACGTGAGATGATGAGGTCGTGAATACAGTTAGGGATGTTTAAAAGGGGGTCTTCAAGATATTTAGGAGATACACTTGGAGGACTTGGTAATGAGTTGATTCATTGTTTGAGCAGAGAAGGAGAAGAGAATATCCAGATGGTGTTGTCTAAGAGGCAGAGAGGAATTTATTTCAGAAGTTTAGAGTGAGAGAGGGAGGATGGAAGAAGGAAGATGACTCAGTTTCTTGGGTAGCTACTGGGTGATGGTGTCACTACTGAAGATAGGGAATGAGAGTAGGCAAGTTTGGGGTTCCTGTGGCATATTCAGATGGTGTTGTCTAAGAGGCAGATAGAAATATATTTAAAAAATTTCTAGTGAAGTCTAGGCGAGAAGTATTGACTGGGAATCATAAAATTAGAGTAACATGAACTGGGAATTTATGTCACTTAGACTCCAGAGCTTGATAACTCTAACATCTGGAGCAAGTAAATGGTTTATCAAAAAGAAAAGTCTACCAGCCATTTCTAGTATAAAACTTAACACGTTAAGTGTTAAAGCAGCTGATTACTTAGGACATCTTATTCTCTTCTAAATAGGTAAAATCACTTTGCTGATCTTGGATGAAGAAAGTGATGTTTTCTTGTTGATTTTTGATGCCATGAACACATTTTCAACCAATGACGAAATCCAGAAACTTGGATGCAGAGCATTACATGTGCTCTTCGAAAGAGGTATTTAAAAGTGTTGAATTCATTGTTTCAACATTTAAGTACATGTAAGAAGAAAGGGCTTATAATGGGAAAAGTAGAATATAGCTGTGATAAGAAGAAGGTGCCCACGACTGTACTATTTATTGAGAAGTGGGAGCTGTCTGTCAAAGGTAAGTATTGTGGTTAATCCAGAAATATGGATTGTTTTGGTGGAGTGAATTTCATTCATGGGTTTTAAATCATGCAGTTGGAGTAGATTTTCTTCTATTCCTTCACGAGTCATAAGGTTTACTTGGAAAACTGGTTGTGTGGGTATTAGGAAAGAAAAATTAAAACTGTGAAGTCAAGTACAGGTTACATTTCGGTTTATGATGTTGAGTCATCCCCAGAGATCTTAGAAATTGTTAAAGCCTCTGTGTAGAGAACCAGGAGGCTTACAAAGTCTCCCTTAGGAAAAAGACATGCATTTCCTAGTGTGGCACTGAGATTGATGACAGAGATTAGCATGTAATTTTAGAGTTGGGCAGAACCTTTCTGCTGGCTGGATGAAGAAATGGGTCAGAACAGGTGAAATGAACAGCCTACCTGAGGCCCGTAGCAATTCAGTTATCACCATTTTTTGAGAGTCTCCCACTTTTTTTCGGTTTTGTTTTGTTTTTTGAAACAGAGTCTCACTATGTCACCTGGGCTAGAGTGCTGTGGCATCAGGGGAGCTCACAACAACCTCAAACTCCTGGGTTCAAGCAATCTTCCTGTCTCAGCCTCCCAAGTAGCTGGGACTACAGGTGCCCACCACAACTCCTGGCTAATTTTTCTATTTTTAGTTGAGATGGGGTCTTGCTCTTGCTCAGGCTTATCTTTAACTCCTGATTTCAAGCAGTCCTTCCTCTTCAGCCTCCCAGAGTGCTAGGATTACAGATGTGAGGAACCACGCCTGGCAGAGGGCCTCTTTTGTAACATTATGGGAACTAACAGTGCGAGGGGGTTAGGGTAAGAATGATCCATGGGGCCCTGTGTCAGTATCAGTTTCCCATTCCAATTTCTGGCAGTTTCAGGAATGATACAGATTCCCTAATATCATTTAATTACCTGTCTTATTCCAGAAGGACTTTAAACAGTTTACATATAATTATGATCATAGAAAAAATCGATGAGCAAATGGATGAAGGGTTATGTTTATTATTGGCTTAAGGTTCTGTGTATTTTTTGCAAAGGGTGGACCCCAAATTTGGCTCTTTGCTTCCTATCTGGCAAAGAAGAAGCAAACATTGGTTACAAACCTTAAGATAAGATAAACCATTACTCAGGAGAAGCATGTGGTCACACGGGAGGCCTGAGAAAATCTTCCCATGGATTTCTCCCAATGAAATGAGCCAGTACCCACATTCCATAAGGAATATAAAGTGTATTTCAGAGATAGCAGCTCTGTCTAGAGAGTCAGAACAGCACAGGCCTGGTCCCCAGCACTTTACTGATTAGACTTGATGGAGGGAAAGAAACTTCCCTGTGAGTGAGGAATGGAAGAACTTCAGGTCTTTTGGGTTATCATCTACAAATGTTATTTATATTTTGCAACTGAGCTCTTGATAAGAATTGAGCATGATAAAGTTGGAAGTTTTATTGTCTTGCAGGCCTTGTAATCTTCTGTGTTGCAATTCAGGGACACAGTGTTATTCATGGAAGAAGGGCTCACAGTATTTTCTCACCAGCATTGTTGGGTCCATCTAGGATCCAGGGAGATGGACCAGGGCATGTTAAGAAGAAGTTAACTCAGCAGGAAGTTCATTACTGCTGTGTATTCCGGTTATAAATTGAAAGTTGGACGATTTCTGACTTTTCCAGGAATATCAGTTATCAGAGACTCAGGGCCAACTATAAAGTTAATTTTCAAAATTTGAAAATATGCTGTGGAAACAGCTATATAAAATGAGAAAATTCATGATACCCCTCATTTATAAGAATAACTTAAGCAATTTTACATTATATTATAGTGCAGCATTGGCATGAAATTGAAAAAAAATAATGTGAATCACCAAGAGTGTTGCATTTTCTAAGATTATTTTGGTGCCATTCTCAGATAAACCATATTTTCACACATTTTGTTTTGTGTTTTTGAGACAGCCTTTCTTCCTTGCCTGAGCTAGAGTGAGGTGGTGTCATCATAGCTCATTCAAGCCTCCAATTGCTAGGCTCAACAGATCCTCCCATCCCAGCCTCCCCAGTAGCTGGGACTATAAGCTTGTTCCACCATGCCTGGCAAATTTTTAATTCTTTTGTAGAGACAGGGTCTCACTACTGTCCATGATGGTTTTGAACTCTAAGGCTCCAAGTGATCCTTTCACCCTCAGCCTCCCAAAGTGGCAGGATTGCAGTACTGGTGTGAGCCACCGTGCCCGGGCTTTACACATGCTGTAGAGATTCTTGCCTAATAAAATTTCTCCAGAAGTAACTCCTGGGCTTGATCAAAAGACTTTAATTATGAAAATTAATGAAAAATTTTGCTCTCTGATAGAAAACCATTATGGTAGTATTTCAAAGTCTAATGACTTGCCATTTGCTCAAGTTCACAACCCTCGACCTGACAGTGAGCTGCCCCTTTGACAGTCTACCATTAACTCCTCTCTTCTATGCCCTGCAAGGCGTTCACGTCCAGTAGGCCATCTTTTTAGTCACTGGTTGGTTTTCTCTAGAATTTCCCCAAAGAAATTGTCAATAATTTTGTTTTTCTGACAACTGGTGACTAACACTCTTATGTTTCAAAACATGGAGTCATTTAGGTAAAAATAAAATCACTTTAATCTCAATAGCTTGTTTTCCCATTATAAACTTCCTGGGAAGGGCTGATTTTATAGGAAGGTATTTTTATTAAGGTGTATTATATTTGCTGTGTCCCATACAACTATCATGAATATTATATTTTTTGAGCAAATTTTGGTATCACCTTCAAACTTCAGTATTTTCGTCTTTTCATTTTTTTAGTTTCGGAGGAGCAACTGACTGAATTTGTTGAGAACAAAGATTACAAGGTATTGTTGAGCGCACTAAACAATTTCCCGGCTGAGGAGGAAATTGTACTTCATGTACTGCACTGTTTACATTCCCTCGCAATTCCTTGTAAGTAGCCTTGATACATGATTTCTCTTTCTGTATGTGAAAAATTACATCTTCCAAGAGTATTTTAAACATATGTTTATGATTTAGAAACTTGTGAATGCTGAATCCCATTCATTTATTCGCTTAATTAACTTATACTTATTGAGACTAACCTGCGGCCAGTGCTAGGCTTTGGGCTGGAGAAACAGTAGTGGGAAATATGAATCTCCTCTTTGCCTATTCAGAGTTCATGTACAGTGGAGGAGACAGGTGAGTACAGAGGTGATTGCAGTGTACAAGGCGAGTGGTGGCGGGAACCCCCAGACTAACGACAGCTGATCCGATGAGGAGAGTTTTGTGTGTGGGGAGGTGTGAGGTGAAGGGGAAACGCAGGCAAAGTGTCCAGCAATGGGCATGCTGAGAGTGGAGTGGGGGCGCAAGAAAGAGTGTAGCGCATTCAAGAAAGTAAAAGTAGCTCAGTAGACTATGGGTTTGTGCATGCAGACGTGCGTGGGTGTGTACACACGCGCATGCGTATCCCTGGGTATCTGCTGTGTTTCATTGACAGAGGCAGGGAGAGCTTGGAAAGAGGCACTGGGCAAGGCTGGAGACACAGAGTAGAAGTCACCAAGGCCAAGTGGGAACTTTATTGTGATTCCTGAATAGCATTTTAGTGATGCTTTGACCTCTAGCCATTTTTTCTTACAGAAGAAAGTAATTTATTGTCTATGCTACCAATCATTGCTAATGGGCTGAAATAATGCCTCTAGTTCTGTGCTGTTTTCTAAGTGTCCATTGACATTTCGTATTCCATGCGTTACCTATGTGGGGCTGTATAGGATATACAGATGCATTTATCTAGCAGTATTTTCCTCCTCCCACATGCAAAGTTTTGAGGATTCCATTAGTTAAATGTGAACATTGTAGAATAGTACTGGTATATAATAAGTGCTGGAAAGTCATCGACGGCTTTGTCACACAATGTATGTTTTATGTGTATGTCCTATGCGATGTGAGTAGTATAATATGCATATATGGTTTCAGATACAGAAATCAGCATGGCATTCTGAAGATGTGAAACTTCAGTGTAGGCAGGATAAAAACCCCAGACCCTCGAGAAAAATACCTTTTCCTTGTGGTGTTTATAAAATTGCCATGTTTGCTTATCTGCAGGAAATTAAACACTTGAAAGTGAACACTAATAATAGAGAAAGGCCATACTTCTACAATTTTCTGAGTCAGCATTGCCAACAAACTCAATAGATTTTTCCTTATACTTTTCCTTGGCTCTGTTTATACACTTATTTATTTATTCTGGTCTGGCTGTGTTTAGAATCCATTGTTTCCCACCCACACCTGTCATAACTCCAGTTATAATGTGCTGATTCATAATGCAAAGGTCAAAGAATGTAGCTGCTGAGGAAAGATACAGAAATCCAGAGTTTTGAGCCCCAATTCTAACTGAAAGGCATTTGCTTTTCCGTCGTAGGAAAAATAAAGAAGTCCGTTGGTTTAAGTCAAAGTAATTGCTTTCAGAGGCCATCTTTCATTATTAAAAGTTTTTCTGTATTTAATGTTTCAAAACATAATCTGAACATTAAAATATATTTTGGGGAACATGGTTAGTTTTGGCTGTGTTGTAAAAGAAAGTAAAACATTTTGATTTTGCAATGGCTTTTTTTTTAAAAACTAGTTAACATTTCACCCCGAGATTTTCCCCTGGTTTGTGTTTTTTCCACATAGGCTCCCAACTCTTGGTTTTCATTAATTGCTTTCCTGGTGGAACCTCTCCTCCTCCTCCCTTTCACCTGTATGTGTCCCCTGAGTCATTATTTTAATAGTAGGCCTCTATTTTTTCTCTCTCCTATCTTTCCACCCATTTCTCTTGGAGCCTTCAGGAAGCTCGATTTTCCTGCCTTGTACCCTGATTGCTCTTGTAGAGTGAAGGAAATAGATCATTGCTGATTTTAGCGGGTCTGTTCTGTGACCTAATCTTGATTTTCCTACTGTTGGTCTCAGAAAAGCAAACAATGCAAAAGCCATTATCCAGTGGGATAGAATCTCACTAGGAAACAGGCCCCCAAGTTCATTTATGTGCAAACTTACGGCCCAGACGTCACAGTCTTAGACCTACCTGTTATAAAAGCACGCTGAATTCTCCCTTTTTTGGTCTTAAGTTTTGAAGCCAAGAGACAGGAAGAAAACATTTTTTCCTGAATGTTCCTGATGAGTCCTGCAACTCATTATGTTGTCCATCAGCAGCATAATATTTTTGGTAGCTATGTGGCAGGACATGATATTTGAAATTGGAAACGTCTCCATTATGCTGCCCTGTATTTACAATCTACATACGATGTCTTTGTATGCAGAGTTGAGAAGAGAAAATGGTTCCCTTATTAATAATCATGACTTCTTTCAATTTAGGTAATAATGTGGAAGTCCTCATGAGCGGCAACGTCAGGTGTTATAATATAGTGGTGGAAGCCATGAAGGCATTTCCTGTCAGTGAAAAAATTCAAGAAGTGAGTTGCTGCCTGCTCCACAGGCTCACGTTAGGTGAGTGTGATTCTAGGCTAACTCATTATCACAATCTATATGATGGAAGCATATGTAACCTATTTACTTAGGTAGTTGCATGTTGATAATATAAGTAGCCTAGTGACATACCTGGGATAAAACAGTTGTAACACATTCTTCTGCCATGCTTATATGGAATTTTAAAGGGGGTGGCAAAAATAGATGTGCATTAATGTAAAAGAAGTATTATCGCAATCTTATTTTTGGTAAAGGTATTTCTATAGTTGAGTTTTTGGGTTGTTGGTTTTGTTTTTGAACAGAGTCTCACTCTGTGGCCCCAGGCTGGAGTGCCATGGGGTCAGCCTTAGATCCTGGCAACTTCAAACTCCTGGGTTCAAGTGATCCTCCTGCCTCAGCCTCCTGAATAGCTGGAACTGCAGGCACCTGCTCTAACGCTCGGTTAATTTTTTGTTTTTTAGTAGAGGTGGGTTTTCACTCCTGCTCATGCTGCTCTTGAATGCCTAAGTTCAAGCAAGCCACCCACCTTGGCCTCCCAAGGTGCTAGCTAGGATTACAGGCATGAGCCACTGCGCTCCGTTCCTTCTCTTATTCTTAATTTTAAAGAGCTCTTAATAGTCTCTTGTTTAGCATAATGCTTGTTTTAAGGATTTAAAAAACTTAAAAAGCTTGTTAAGACATTTGCTTCTGTTTTTTGTTTTATTTTTACATGTGGGCTTTTTAAATTAAAAGAAAGATGAGTATTAAACTTTATCAGATGCTTAAAAATGTATTAAGATCATTTGCTCTTTTTCCTATTATTTTGAAAATAGGGAGAATTACATCCATAGGTTTTCTAACACTAAGCCACCTTATACTCTTGGGATAAATTTAAAAATTTAAAAACATTTCTAAAAATCTGCTTTTCTAAAATTTTTACATCTACCAGATAAATTTTGACTAACTCTTACTTACTCTTATGTTTTGGTCTCTTGTCCCCTTCCCTTAAAATTCTTTTGTTTCTTCAATCATTAAACCATAGCTATTTTGAGCTCTGTATCTGATGATAATATATGGTGTTCTTGGAAGTCTGATCACACTGCTTCTCTGCTGACTGCCCGTCAGTCACGGGGGCTTGTTTTCTCCTTTGCTGGTGAGTTTCTCTCTGGTTGAGCTTAATATCTGAGCATCCTAAGGACCCAAATTCCAGGTTGTCCTCCAGAGATGTCTGCCAGGAGCCAGAACACAGGACTGATGTGGAAATATTTTAGGATCTTGTTAAGATCTGGGCTTAATGTGGGAGTCTGTGGTTGAGCTATGTACCTTGGAGAGGGTCTGGGGCTAGTTTGTTGATTACAGCATCAGAATTCAGGCTTCCCCCCAGGCTGCTCTTCTGGTGTGTCCATTTGCTTCAGCTCATAGGTCTTATTACAACTGACTGCCTGTTGAACTTCCCCGCTTAACTTCCAACACACACACTTTGGGGTTTTCATGTAGCAACGTATACTTTCAATTCTAGAATCATGACTGTATCCCTTATGTAATCTGGAAATTGATTTTAGCATTAGTAAAACTCCTACCTTCAGTTAAAAAATTTTTTTTAAATTGAATTCTGTTTTACATACACAATTTCAATTTATTTCTTTCCTTGATAAGCATTTATTAAAGATTATTATATTAAAACTGAGATACACATCTGATAACAATGTTTTAATATTTTCGTATTTCTTTCATAGTTTCCAACATGGTTTCATATATGCCTGTATAATATTTTCTTAATCCATGAAACAATCCTGACAGATGAGATTATTGTCACTATTGCCACGTTTATGGATGAAGACCTGTGGTTTAGCAGCTGTTTGTGTGTTATCCAAGATCATGTAGTCAGGAAGGGCTGAAATCAGGCCAACAGCTTCGATTTTTGCATGCCTAAACAAAACAGAGCATTCCTTCTGAAATGTGGTAACTGTTTACTAGTTTATTTTGTTATCAGGCGAAACTTCACTTGTTACCTTTCAGGAAGAAGGATGCAGTTTTGCAAACTGGTTGTTATCTGAGAACATTTTAACCTAATTCAAATGTTGATTTCTGAAATCAAGCTTTTAGAGAGCATTCTATTGTAGAAGTCTGTTTCAGGTTTTACAACTTAATCATAGACAAGTTACAACTTATACAGGTTACATTGGAAATGTGAGTTCACCTTAATCCTTTGAAATGAGCCAGAGGAAGAAGTGGTTCTGTTTTTGTGATTAGGGAAATCCTACTGGACTACCAACTAGGTCTATAATGGAACGTTAAAGGTGCCTGATATTACACTATTGAAATTAAATAAGTCATGGAGATATGTCACATGTAATTCATGAATTTTCGTACCTTCCTATTGAAAACATAAAGCCATCAGATTGATCTTCAGATAAGGCTTCTTTTATTCTCTCTTTTATCTCTTACCAGATTATTATTTATTCCATTTAATGAACGGAGAATTGTCTCTGTTATTGTTTCAAAAGGAGCTGAAACAATAACTTTTAACTTCCTCTTCACAATTAAAACCCAAAGTCAGTAAATAAATATTTAACATTTTGTCAAATTATGCAGCCTAATTATGAATTCAATGCATTTAAGAGCTTAATACAATTTAATATGTATTCTCATACATGTTGTCTGAACATAAAACTGGTCTTGCGGTTTTTTTTGCCCCAAACCACACTGGTCAGTGGTAGAGCAGCTGTTGGCAGAGACAGGAAGATAATAGTATGGAAAAGAGGGCGGTGGACACAAGCTGAGTGTAAACAAGCTTGGTGAAAGCAGAAGAGAATCTTTTTGAAATGACTCTCCAACAGTCCCGCTCACTAAGGGCCGGGGAGAATGTCTGCTTGGTGGGTCAGTGTGGAAGAGACAGGAACCTAGGACTGTGTTGATGAGAGAGGACTGCATCTGGCTAAACTGCCTTTTGATTTGTGAATCTTTTCCATTTCTGGGTTTGTTTCAGAGATTATCTAATAATACTTACATAATAGATAAATAAGAGTTTCTTTGTTTCTTAGTTTTGGAAGGAAACCAGGTGACTTAGAGAGTTACAAAGGAGCTCACTGGAAGGAGGCACTTATTTCTGGAATATCACTTATAACTTCTTTTCCCATAAGGATTTGGACTTTTGGGTGTCAT